CTATATTCATATAAATGTAATTTAAATTACAAATGAATGAATGATTATTATTAGACTCTCAAGTTGATTAATAAAACAATGTGATTGGATTTTGTGTATTAGGTAACTAAATAATTTTATCGTTTATCGTTTTTGCAACTTTTTTGTATTGATTTAATACTGGGAACATTTGTAATTTACGGGAAACCCTTTATTTTGGCTTTTTTTTAAGGGGRACTTGGACATTTTTCAAGTGAAAAAAATATTGGTGAAGTCTAAATTGGAGGCTTTAAGTTAATTTTGAAGTTATAGCCTTCCAAAGTTTACGATTATTCGTTTATACGCATGCGCGCAACACTACTGCCTCGCACAACGTGTGATTWATTTTTTTATAGAAGTTATAATAGTGCTATATTTAKTTGTTTTGTAATTATATTCAAGTAATCAACAGACTAATGAGTATATTGTAACCTTGCCTGTTAAAGTATAATGTAAGTACCTATATTATAGTGGGCTAAAATAACAAACTTGTGTGGGAACCCCTTCGGAGACGGGGTGGGAGAGCATCAATGCCCTTCGGGCAGATAGATAACCTATAATAAGTAAACTTAACTTTGTTGGTTAAAGTGGCAAATGGAGCCAAAACCAAGTGGACCTGACTTCGCCCACAGGCCAGGTCGGCGGTGGGTCACCAAACTCGTTGGATACGGACTCATTCACCAACTACCTCCGTGGCTAAAATAATAAAATACTGAATGAATAAACCTACCTAAGCTTACTGAACGGGTTAATACTGTGGCCGATTTCAAAAATATCATATTATATTATAAAAAAAAAATCATAGGTTCACGTTGCGCATGCCACGTGGCAATAAAGTAGTGTTGAACGCAAGCGTATAAACGTAAAATCGCAAACTTTGGAAGGSTATAACTTCTAAAATAATAGTTTCCGGTAAAAATGTATACACATTTGTTTTAACCGTAAATAAACAAATCGTTAAAAAAAGATTGAAAATCGTGAGAGGGTTARTAAAGTGCATTATTTTAGCCCAATAGACTGCCTGGAATCGTGACATTTTTAAGTTATTTAACATATATTACATACTAACTTTAAAGTGCTATAACTTTGGAACTATGTCCCTGCCCGAAATTCTGACTTACCCATCGTTTTCAGTATATAATTAACTAGGTACATAAGTTTGAAAAAAAAATGCCGCGTAAATTACAAATATACCGGTTTGTACATTTCAAGGGGACAAAAGCCTCTCTCTCAGCCCCTCCAATAAAATTACCACCTATACTCATGAATAATTAAATTACCTGATAATACTGGTTAGTTATTACTTAATTAATTAATTTATTGAAAAATTCTAAAACATTAAGATACGTGTTCAGTATAATATAGGTATAATGGGGTACCTATCTGTTTAAAACTAACTTTGACATTTTGTCAAATTATAAATTATAAATAAGTATTAATGTTAGTTGTAATGAGTAATACCTACAGTATAGTAACTGTTAGTAGGTAATGTGCAAATACTGCAAATTGAGTCGACTAATATGTATAAACCATGACAAAATAATTATATTTAACTATATTTTGTCATGGTATAGGTAAACCAATTTTTTATTTCTGTAATGTGAGTTTTTAAATTTGGCAACCCTATTTAGGACAGTCGGCAACCTATTAAATCATATGCCCAGGGGCTTAAAAATTCTAAATACGGCCCTGAGCACAATCACAATTATTTCAAATCGAAAATGTATACTAAATTACTAAAAATAGAAGACACCGGACAACGCACAGATCGTGATGATGATGAGAAGTTGATGCGTTTTTTTTCTTCTTAGTCAAAACTCAAAAGAACATGAAGTCTAYGAAGATATTATAGAAAAACTATATTATGTACTATACAGTTTAATATTTTAATATATTTTTAATAATATGGTTATGACTTAATATGAACTATATTATGTTTTGTATGCGCCAAGCCGGTTACGATATCAACAACGATGATAAGGCTTATCAAACATATTTAAGTTGACACGTGAGAATAATATGTTTGGCTTACGCTAACTTTGCTGCGGCTTTTGCCACTTATCCACTGTATATACTATACTCCATGATAACGATTTATAATATGTGTGAGGTAACGTCATATTAATATATTATAGTATTTACTATTTTATTACTTAGTATTCTAGTTTCACAATTTAATTTACTATAATATAATTACATTTATGTTATATTTTATACAAATATAGGTTTAAAACGAACAATTGTTTAGTAAATATGTGGAAAAAATGTATAAAAACTGTAAAAACTCACGGGTCGCTGGAAAACATCAAGTCGTACTTGTTCGATCCTTCGTACACATCGTCSATCAAATGGATAGTAATTGCCATCGAATTTGTGCTAAACTTGTATATCATTCAAACGGTTAGGTACACAGAAATTGACTGGAAGGCATATATGCAAGAAGTAGAAGGTGTCGTGGTAAACGGTACATTTGATTACGGCAAATTGAAAGGAGACACAGGACCATTGGTGTATCCAGCTGGGTTCGTATATGTATTCTCCGTGCTTTACTACTTGACCGCATTTGGTAAGAACATCAGAGTTGGCCAATACATATTCATGTTACTGTATTTAGTCAACATATACTTGGTGTTCAAAATACATGAACGCAGTAAAAAAGTTCCACCATTTGTTATGTTGCTACAATGTTTTTCGTCTTATCGTATACATTCAATATAYGTATTACGACTATTTAACGATCCAATTGCTGTGATACTACTTTACCTGTCCATTTACATGTTTCTAAAGAATAAATGGGCGGTTGGCAGCATAGTCTACAGTTTGGCTGTTTCCATCAAAATGAACATCCTACTATATTCTCCTGTACTACTAATAGCGTATATCACAAAATTTGGCGTCCGAGGAACAATCAAACACATCGCATATTGCGCTTTAGTACAGTTACTGTTGGGTTTGCCATTTTTAATCAATAATCCTATAAATTATGTACAGGGTGCATTTGACATATCTAGAGTATTTATGTATAAGTGGTCAGTAAATTGGAAATTTGTTCCACCCAACATTTTTGTGAGTGGATATTTTCATACTCTTTTACTGGCCATACATCTCACAGTGTTGTTATGTTTTACCGCTACTTGGATAAAATATTTAAGCTCCTATGCTAAAATGAAACAAATTGAACACGACTTAAAACCTCAGCTGAAGAAGAAGAAAATCAACATCAACATGGATATMAGCGCAAATTTATTTTTGTTGCCTATGTTTTCAGCCAATTTTATCGGAATAATGTTCAGCCGCTCATTACACTATCAATTTTATGTATGGTATTACCATACACTGCCGTTTCTATTATGGTCAACACCTTACGGAAATAAATTCAGACTAATTGTACTAGGCCTCATAGAAATATGTTGGAACACATTTCCTGCAACAGCATTTAGCAGTGCTTTGCTACATGTTTGTCATTGTATTATTC